ATGATAATTTAAATAATGTTTAATTCTGATATAATCAATCATGTAGTTTCTGTTAATTTGTCACGTAATTCCTTGTAGTCGAGTTACAGGTATAGTAACCGGTCAATGTTTTCCTCCACGTGAGTAAATCAAGGGCCCCGCCCACCAATAACACCACGCCATTATTTACTTACCTATGTAATGTGACAGATATGAAAGGTTTGGTAGTATATACACGTATAACAGTAGTATATCATTATCTACTATATAAGCCCACTCATCTAGCGTCACTTACTGTCAAAATGGAAATTATCGCGTCTGGAAAGGTTCCGGTTGTGATCTTTCAATTGATCGCGGTGCGAAAAAAAATCGCGTTTGCAATGATTCTGAAATATAAATCTCTATAATCTAAAATAACATGTGGATATTTTATATTCCTGCAAATTTCCTTTGCGCATAACACGCGAGCATGTTTACAACGCGAACATTTTCTCTTTTACAGTAAAAAAATGTTTGTGTTGGTACTCTTTTAATTGATCGCGATGTGGACATTTTCGCGTTGGTAATGATTCCGAAAATTCGCATGTGGATTTTTTTCGTGCTAATTAAAAAAATAAAAACGTGAGCATTTCTACAACGCGACAATTTCAGCACCGAGATCAGTTTAAAGAGTCACATCCAAACATTTTCTTTTACTGTAAAGAGGACATTTTCGTGTTGTAGAAATGCTCGAGTTTTTTTAAACTTTTTGCGGCGAGTTGCATTGGTAATGATTCCGATGTATGGTTCTCTATAATATATGTGGACTTGCTCGTGCTTATTTACTCATCGCGAAACACGTGAGTATTTCCACACCACGCAAATGTCCTCTTTTATAGTATGTTAACATATACTCGGACTTACCAGTAACTACGTGTAGTGCTCCTATAAGTTCTGAAACTAACATACACATATATAATAAACGGGTTGAACGCACCTCCCCTTCTGTTTAAACAGTACTTTAGACCTGTTTGGATTTCCACCATTTTGGCCCCTAGCATCACCAGTGAGTCATAGAAAGACAGCACAACTGTAAGGTGCAGTTTAACTTTTTAGGTGTAATCACGTGTCATGTGTCACGTGTGTGTCCTACGTACATCTTTCAAGAAACAAGATGGCAGACTCTACTGATGGAATTTTAGGTTCCCGAGGTTTGCCGTAACCTCGGTTTCCGCTGTTTGCCGTAACCTCGGTTTGCGCTGTTTGCTGTACTCGGTTTCCGCTGTTTGCCGTAACCTCGGGTTCCGCTGTTTGCCGTAACCTCGGTTTCCTCTGTTTGCCGTAACCTCGGTTTCCGCTGTGTACTGTAACTTCGGTTTCCGCTGTTTGCTGTAACCTCGGTTTCCGCTGTTTACTGTAACCTCGGTTTCCGCTGTTTGCTGTAACCTCGGTTTCCGCTGTTTACTGTAACCTCGGTTTCCGCTGTTTGCTGTACTCGGTGTCCGCTGTTTGCCGTAACCTCGGTTTCCGCTGTTTGCTGTAACCTCGGTTTCCGCTGTTTGCTCTTTCGGCTGCATGGTAGAGTGTAATACATTTTAGTATACTGTATCCTATTGTCAAATTTTCACATGTGTGCCTTACTTTCATCTATAGAGTCATTCTCGCGTTTGCTTCTTGAAGTATAATTGCATCCTCTCAATTCCAGGTTACGCTGACTTACGTTATCTAGACCCCGGGATATGTCGTGACGAATCGAAGGTACAAGAAGACTATTTGGTCCTTTGATGAACATCGAAAGAATCGCGCGCCATCGTAACGGTATTACGAAATTGGGACATATATCAGCCTAGCGACTGTTCAGATGTTTTACCTGAAACTTAATAAACAGCTCACAGCTTGGTTTCAATTTCGCTATAAATATTCCAAGACCTCATCTCTGGAGTATCAATTTTAAGGATGGTATCATTGATGCTCATTAATTATACTTGAAAACAAACTCACAAACACTAATCGATCGTAATCGTTAGATGTCTGATCATTATTTTCATTAAATCTTGAGTAAAAGCCGAGATTGCTGCAATACCACAGACAATTACGAGTCACCTGTAGGACGAGCCAGTCTGTTTCGTGGCGCATGCGCACTAAACGTCATATTGTGTTATCAATTAGCTTCGATCAATAACTATAGTAAACAAATCCCTTCAATTAGCCGCTGACTGACGTTTTCTTTTAAAATTATTTAAATTAATGGATTATTCCCAGTCTACGTATTGGTTACCATGGAAACTCACAAATCGATATGTAATAGGCCTATCACTTGGTCCATTATACATTCATTTTTTTTTTAATATGTAACGGGTGCTAAGGGAAACATCGCCGAGAAAAAAAGGAGCAAGCCAGAGAGAAAAGGAAAAATAAGGATCCCAATTCAGGGTTTCAGTAGGCCGCAACATATTGATTTTGGTTTAGTATTGTCTAAGTTAAAGGCATATAAAAACCCGGATTCTGCTGGTGGACCCACATTGGTCGCCTCTTAAGATATCATGTTGTGGGATGCAGCAGGTATATGCTTTCCCCGAACCTGTAGGGGATAATTTATCATTTGATTAAATCCATCATATTCTATTACGCTACCTAACCTACCCGCTATACTGTATTCTGTCATAATGATCATACATGTATGTTTATATATTGGCTGTTAATTTCAAAGAAAATAAATATCAGCAGTCACTTTAGATCCAAACTTCACCTTTCAATTTCGAGCGAACCGATAAATTCGATAATTGGATATAGAGTGACTGTTTATATTAATAGATAGTGCATACATGATAGACAATTAGTTTGTTAAAGACATTATTTAATTCCAACAAAGCTATAACTCTTCCAAGCGCAAATACTATTTGACCGATTAATGTGTGGGAAATGGTTTCTTATTTCTGAAAACAGTGGGACCGGGTCTCATGCTACCGTGTCGAGTTATGACATTTACCCTTAAATGGCCCCACGTGGACACTGTCGTCATAATAATGATATTGACGGTTGCGTGCGTACAGAGTATAGGGCAAAGCGAGATAACTCGTACTAAACAATCGGAACTTAATAAGAAATGTTTACCCTGTTCACTGAACACAAAATTTGCGAATATCGTCATTTTCTTAATCTCAATTTTATCTTTGTTGATTCATAAATCATGACAGTTCAAGTGACTACCCCTCCGATATGAAAATAAAAACAAAATCATATTCCCTATGTATGCCATTAGTAGTTATGTTTGATAATAAGAAATTTATGTCTACAAAATATTAAGTAATGTTTATTTTGGGCAAATAAGTTCTACTATGGCCGGACAAGATATTCACTATTTCTATTCAATATTTATCAAAGCATATTATTTGATATTTCATCGCGTGGTGGTGGTGCTGAGTGATGGGGTTTCACATCAAATCAGCAAATTTGAAAATCACAGAATGTAGCGTCATTGGCGCGACAAAATTGAACTACGGTCTCACACAAATTAAACGTTACCAGCATTATTTTTTTCTCGCCTATTCTTACATATTTGACAGTGAAATTTCCAAAAGTTAACGCTGATATTACTGAAAAGAAAATTTGTGCTGACTTTCGCTCTCTATATGTCATAGCAAAATTGAAGGCCCAGTGTGCATCACCTTGTTGAACAGAACTTGAAAGAAGACGTTACCTCATGTAGTTTGATCCTTTCATGTACATCAACAGAATCTGTCGGTCGGTTAGTGGTAAAATTGACTGGCTTTGAGGTCGGGTGGCGCTCCTTCGTAATCTTAAAAGGACAGGTATCAGCCCTGCGATTGGTCAAGGTTTCTTTTTTATACCTGAGACCACGGACTTACATGAAGATAGCAGCTAATTCCGTGCTAAGACCTATCAAGTACGTATCCGTGCGCTTTCGATTTCGCTATATTATATTCCAGGGGTGTAGAGAGCAAAATTGAGTATATGCCGCGCCCCCTCCCCCAGAAGCTGCAGAATTTTAAGCGAGACAGGGCCAGAAAAGGAAAGTCACCCGCCAAAACGTCCACGTGACCTATACCCCGCAGGCTTACGCCATGTGTAGATCTACGGCCGGAAACGAAATTCACTGTCTGTATCTAATATTTATTAAAGCCTGTTCTTTGATATTTCGTCGAGTGGAAGTCTTAGCTATATATACAAGAGACATGAGTCACAAGCATGGTAGATAATCGAGAGGAAATATATTACGCATTCCAAGATCACGAACAGATACATAGATACTGAATTTTAACTTTGAAAAAATCAAGATTTTACAGTCGAGCAATAATAAAAAAAAACCACATTGAAAAGGCAAGTTGCTACGTTTAGAGCACGATTTCTCTTTAAAACAGTAAATTATGCGCTTGGTTGTGCCAGTTTTCATCAAATTTGTATTCAAAACGTTTAACTGTGCTTGAATTTACAACATTTGACGGTGTCACTCTCCAGAACACCATACTTCTCCAATACCATTCCGACTCGGTACGAGATTTCTATCAATTAAATCCCCTTTGTCGCCGTATTCTATTGCTAATTTAACATTATTTATTTTAAATATATATATACTTCATGAGCTACATGTAAAGTCTCGAAGGGAGATCTTACAAGTATTTTCTAAAAACTAATCTTGTTTAAAAATTCTGTAATTGTTAGACAAACAAAAACAGTTAAAGTATTAGTGTTTGATAATGTTAAATGTACAATTGTACATTGCATGACCTTCAAAATGCAAGCAGCCGCCAGCTCATACAGCAGTGAACATACATCCGTCGGTACGTGCTTGTATGTAGTTTTGTCATCCATACACTCTGGCACTCAAATTAAACATCACACAAAACATTTATATGCAATTAGTCTTTTTCAAAATATCGATAAAACTCCAAATTATCTAGTATCCAAAAATATTTCGATTTACTATGCTACTATCACTTTGAATAAAGAGGTTATATTCCACCAATCAGAGACGAATAATTTATTCACTTCTTCAGAAATTATGCAAATTAATAGAACTTCCGGTGTAGTTTCTCTATCGAAGCACTGTGATGTTGGCGACCATAACTTAGTATTTAACATAACAAGAAGCAAAGCAAGACACAATCGACATTGTAAATGTGTTTATTAATGTAAGTATATTGCATAAAATGCATCATTAGCTCAATTTTGGTATTTAGCTTTCTATTTGAAGGTGACATAGTTGAGTGAGGTGAATCCGAAACCATGCGGACAGCGAACGAAAGTAGAAAGACAGACGCGGCATACTCGGCCAAAAAATATATGAATTTCAGAAATTCTAGCCTCCAGATATCTTACTCATCGTAATATTTTGATAGATGAACGACCAAAGAGTTGTATGATTCCAGTATTACATCACTGAGTGCGGTATAATTCGTGTTTGGGAAAACCAGTTTTAGTACTTTCGAAATCTACTTTCTGTTGAGCAAATATGGCGACGATGTTAAGATTATGCAAATGAGCAATGGTGTGTAACGACTTAATCATATACCGATGAAAATTGATACAAAGGGGTGTTGTTTTCTTCAGAATTTGGTTAAATGTCAATCTCCAAATCGTACTATCGGTTTAAATTGAGCAAAGTGATAGAACTGTGCATACTCAAACACGTTTCTCAAATTGCATAATGAAAGTAGGGCAAGACGAAAACGAGGCAGCCTCATTATGCCGCAGTTGGCTACGTAGAAAAAATATGTGGAAGGCAGACTGTTCATTATGGAGTTATTAAAACACCATGGTTACGTGGATACTCGAATTTTATCACACTAATGAAGTGTAATTAGAAAATAACTTATATTTTATTACAAATTAGTTTTTTTTCGACGCCAAATACATCCAAGCACAGTCCATAGAAACCACCAGTGTTATTTTTAGCAACACCCTTGTGGAAAGTGGATTAGATTAATAGGGATTAATATTAAGGTTGAATTAAACCCCATTATGTTTCAAATCATAACCACTATATCAGTTAACATAAAGAGATCATTCACCCTTTTAAACAGTTTTCAACCCTTTTGTTTTAAAAATCGTATTTCTTTTATTAGTTTTTCTTTCACTTTGTCGTAGAGTTGAACAGTATTTTCAATGTTTATGCCGCTATGAACCAGGCTTTATGGAATATGTTGGATACCTATATGTATTTGCATTAACATTTAAAAATATTGTTCAATTCGTATATTGACATTCTAAATTTTATAATTGGTTATATATATATAACTTGCCAACTCTCCCCTATTTTGGAGGGAGTCTCCCAGTTTCGGACCTTTAAATTGAGCATTTTCAACCAGCGAGTCTGCTAAACAAATCATATTTTCTAAGATCTGATGATTTCATCTGAAAGATGAACTCAAACGATGCTGCTGAACCTGTTATTTTTTCACTAGGGTGTAGATAAACACATTTTATTTATGCTTTTAATTCCTAATATGCGTAATCTCCCCTATTGAAATTTCATAAAGTTGGCAAATATGTAGTTGATTATTGATTTACGTATATTTAAGTATTCCCTTATATTTTCTAGATTCAAGTGTCCTCCCCTATTGAAATTTCATAAAGTTGGCAAATATTTATTTGATTATTGATTTACGTATATTTAAGTATTCCCTTATATTTTCTAGACTAAAGTGTCTGTGTTGTCAGTGAAAACAAGAATCTTGATAATGTGTAACCTCATCAAAAAGTTTGCTTTTAACGATCGTCTTACATTATTTGATGTCGGAGGAGCTTCAAAATGAAGCTGATCACAATGGTTCATAGCCCTACTGAACACATTTTCTTTAGATGATGGTTATAGAGGAACTTTCAGTCGAAATAAAGGATTTATGATACAAGTTTTGGATTTTTCATGTTTGTCAGCCTATGGCGCACAAATATGAAAAATCCAAAACGAGTATCATAAATCTAATATGAAGGGAAACCAATGACAGATTTTTTTCATCATATAATACATAGTAAATAGTATATTTGTGATCTGAAACAATTATTTTGCACTTGGCCGCCCATGAAACGCCAAAAATTGCATCCGCTTCACAATGACGTGACGTCACATTGATTGTTCCTATTCGATTGTGGCATCATTATACATGTTACAGAAATATATAATTTATGTGATTGCTTTGTGACACTGCATAACATGGTATTCCTATGATAAATGTAAATATACTATCATAACTCATATAGATATACATATATATAGTCATAAGTGTAATTTGATATGCATATACGTACAGTATACACTGATATATGTGTATGTGCTTATCAGTAGACAAATATCCAGATTTTAAGCTGATGTTTTTCAATGACTCATGACAGACCAAATCTCCTAAACCCCCTCCAAAAATTTAACAGATTTAGAAAATAAAAAGATGTCATGACATATTACTTATAACATGTGTAGTAGGATGAGGAATAATGATGAAGATAGTGCCGTCGTTGGGGGTACTCCCTGTCAAGGGTTCTCCTACCTTGAACAGGGAGGGTCAACCGCGCCAGTTTGTAGTAGGACGCGGAATAGTGATAAAGATAGTGCTTTCGCTGGGGCTCGAACCTGCGACCCTTGGCTCTCTAGTCTGATGCTCTACCGCTGAGCTAAAGGGAAAATCCCTGCAACTGATGCTTGTAAGGCAACCTAATAAATGCACATTTTTACACCATCCCCCCTTTTTTCAAACACCAACCCAGGTTCTTTGACTCACCGCCAAGGGTTCTCCTACCCTGAACGGGAGGGTCAACGACACCAGTTTGTAGTAGGACGAGGAATAATGATGAAGATAGTGCCGTCGCTGGGGGTACTCCCTGCCAAGGGTTCTCCTGCCTTGAACAGGGAGGGTCAACCGCGCCAGTTTGTAGTAGGACGCGGAATAGTGATAAAGATAGTGCTTTCGCTGGGGCTCGAACCTGCGACCCTTGGCTCTCTAGTCTGATGCTCTACCGCTGAGCTAAAGGGAAATTCTCTACAACTGACGCTTGAAAGGCAACCTAATCAATGCACATTTTTACACCATCCCCTCTTTTTCAAACACCAACCCAGGTTCTTTGACTCACCGCCAAGGGTTCTCCTACCCTGAACGGTGAGGGTCAACGGCACCAGTTTGTAGTAGGACGAGGAATAGTGATAAAGATAGCGCCGTCGCTGGGGCTCAAACCTGCGACCCTTAGCTCTCCAACTCGATGATCTACCACTTAGCTGAACAGAGATTCCCTACAGCTGACACTTGTAAGGCAACCTAATCAATGCACATCTTTTACACAAGTATATTTGTTTAAGTATTGCAGCCTTTTTTTTTTAGATTTTCTTGTTGTGGTGTTTACTATTTACCAACACTTGACCTGTTTTTTTTAAAACATGTATAACCATAGTCTCCTCTCCTTAAAGTTTGCACCAAACACAGTAACAATCTCATCTAGGTACTTCAAACTCTTAGTTTTCTCACTAATACAATCACTAGAAATTCAAGCACACAAGTAACCCTGACATTTTGGATTTTTTTTTAGAAGATGACGGTTAATGAACTTATCACTGAGACTGCTAAGACATTATGATATGGAGCTGACATTGAATACATCCTGCAGCTGTTGAGAGTGAAACATGATCATTGATGTTATCTTAAAATTTCATTGTAACAAACAAAATATTTTTAGCTTTCTAAATTACCAATATACCCGATATGATCAGGAATTTAGATGACAAATGTTTGTTATGTTTTTAGGTCACCTGAGCTTTAGCTCAAGTGACCTATTGCTATCTGTTTTCGTCCGTCGTCGTCCGTTAACATTTTACATTTCAAACTTAAAGTCAAGTTTTGCTGGGCCGATTGAACTGAAAGTTGGTAGGAATGATCGCCTCATGGTCCTGACAAAGTGTTGTTATTTTTCGGGTCGATCAGAAATCCAATATGGCCGCCA